GGGGGGGGAGGGAAGGAATAAGGAAGGAAGGAAGGAAGGAAGCAAGCAAGCCAGCAAGCCAGCAAGCCATGGTGGCACAGTGGTTAGAATGCAGAACTTCAGGTTAACTCTGCTCACTGCCAGCAGTTCGATCCTGACCAGCTCAAGGTTGACTCAGCCTTCCATCCTTCCGAGTTTGGTAAAATGAGGTCCCAGATTGTTAGGGGCAATATGTTGACTCTGTAAACCGCTTAGAGAGGGCTGTAAAAGCACTGTGAAGCGGTATATAAGTCTAAGAGATATTGCTGTTGCTCCCATAGGGATGCTGCAACAGACAGAAGTGTGAAAAATGGTCCTAAGCCACTTTTTTCAGTGCCGTTGTAACTTCAAACAGTCACTCAGCGAACTGCCGAGGACATCCTGTGTTGCAGGCAGTGTGTTGTGACGGGAACCACTGCACACGCACACATAACGTCCATGTACAAATATTTACCCACTTTTCGCTTCATTTTAGCAGGGCAGTTTTGTGGGGGCCAAGAGGGCTTGCCAGTGGCAACTTGCCAAACCCCCCCCCCTTTTTTTTTTTCTTTTGCAATAAAACATCTTCATTCCAAGTTGGCTTTTGTGCAGGCTGGATTAGCAGACTGGCTCTGAGCCACGCATTGCTTTTCCCTCCACACAGCTGCGTGGAGTAATCTTGTTAGCATAATCAAAAATCCCCCACGTCCAGCCACATTTCTCCCATTATTATAGTTCGAGGCCCTTAACGTTTCCAAATGTAGTCGTCGCTAGCTTGGCCCCCCAAAGGGTGCCAGGAATGAAACCACCTTCTGGAAAATTGGCCTGGCCCGGTTGTTCGTTTTCAGGTCTGCGGTGCCCGGAGTTTCCCCGAGCAGCAAATTACCTTGGGTTGGGTTCTGCTGGCTTCCAGAGAAAAGGGAGGGAATGAAGCGAAAGAGCGACGGGGAAAATCTGAGCCGTGAGAGAATTGGGAAAATACAAATGGTGTTTTTGCGGCACCAGCTGGTGGGCACGCTTCCTGGAAATCAATCAAAATGCAGAATAACAAAGTGGGAAGGGACCTTGGAGGTCTTCCAGTCCAACCCCCTTCTTGTTGTGGTTAGCCGGCAGCAGGTGCGGACGGCTGAGGAGAATGAAGGTTGGAGACTCCTGGTCTACCGGATCTTCTGCCACGAAAATTCTTCGTTGGAGAATCTGATTGATGACACACCCAGGGGGGAGGGGGGAAACAGAGCCACAGATGACCGTAAATCACGTGTGTTAGAGTTGGCTTCAACTGGGATAATGCCCGCATGTTGCTCCTAATAAATCTTTTGGATTCTTTTGAGGCTTAGCCCGAGGCTCATGATTTAACGAGGGCAATCGAGGGAACCCTGACAGCAAGACAAACCGTTGAAATTTTGAAAGGCTGCTATCGTGTCGTTTTCCCCTACACACACACACACCAATCTTTCTTTTTGTTAGACTAGACATACACAATTCCTACAACCTTCAAGCAGAGTCTTACGGGGAGATCCTGGTGCATGTTTACTTCGTTACATTTACATTCCATCTTTCCTCCAAGCTGCGCAAGTTGGCGTAGAATCACCCCTGGGTTTTCTCTTTGCAAAGACAATTTTGCAAGCTAGTGAGTTGAGAGGGGGGAAAAGGGGGGGGGCTTTTCCACACTGCCGTGGTCATAAGTGCGAAAAAGGGTCGTAAGTCACTTTTTTCAGTGCCATTGTAAACTTCGAATGGTTCTTAAACAAACAGTTACAACTGGAGAACTTCCATGCAGAGTGCAGAGAAGAGCAACAAAGATGATTAGGGGACTGGAGGCTAAAACATGTGAAGAACGGTTGCAGGAACTGGGAATGTCTAGTTGAATGAAAGGAAGGACCAGGGGTGACATGATAGCAGTGTTCCGATATCTCAGGGGCTGCCCCAAAGAAGAGGGAGTCAAGCTATTCTCCAAAGCACCTGAAGGCAGGACAAGAAGCAAC